GTTGATAAATTATAAAATATGCATAGTAGGTGAATCCATGTGCTTCGCCTGTTGCTCTTGTTGTAACAAAATTAGATGTAATTAAACTTATTATGTTTATAGATAAATAAGAACCACAACCTTAGAAGATAGTTAATTAGATCGCATCTAGAATATTATTTATACAAAACGGATACAAATATTGAATTTCGTGTAGTGCTCTTGTTATACATAAATCTAACAAAATAATAAGCAAAACTCTCAAGAAACTGACTAGCGCAAGAAAGCGATTAAAAAATATACATAGTTATTAATGTAAGAATCAAAGATGATAACCAAATTTTTCTTTTAATTTATAACGAATTTAATTTAGAATTTCCTCACCTAATTCGAATACTGACTGATAAAATTTTGTTTTTTTTCTTTTCTTGTTTCGTTTCGTTTTTGTTATAACAATTTAAACAATTTTGTTTAATATTCGTACATATTTTTTTTGTGTCGATTTGTGCCAATTTGTTGCCTGTTGTTTAATTTACTTCTTTATCACATTTTTTGTGTGGCACAAACTTTAAAACTGACAACAAATTATGGTATGCGCCCCTCTATGTGTTTTTCTTTTTTTCTTTCATTTTTTGTTATGTCAATATTTTGTTTATGAAGTACCTAAGCAAGTTTGTTATACATTTAAGCTCTTTGTTTGTATATCAACAATTATCAAAACTCCAATTTGTGTTTTTGTGTCTGCATGTGTGAAACAAACGTTCGTTAAGATATCTAGGTATTATCGTTTTATAACAAGACCGCACTGCAATATTTTAGGATTCTCTTCCAATTTTGACAAAAGAAAATTATTTTTAACAGGGAAAAATATACAATTATGATTACTATTAATTACAATGAGGACTATATTCATTATATCACATACCAATTTATATTTCTGACTGTGACTCGATGCGAGTTCCCCCAACCCGATTACTTTGCCAATTTCTACCTCCTTTTTCACACTCCTATATGCTGCTGCTCGTTTATATTTATCTTTATATTTAATGTTATTTAAAAATAATTAATAACTGCTTATGTTTGCTTTCAAAAACGGTTTGCTTTGCGTACAGGCGCCAGAACCCAAAGCCACGTTAATTTTGATTTGTTTATCTCTTTTTGGTCAAATTAAAATTCCGCTATCACATATCGTGGTTCATAATTAAAACATAATTTAAAAAACGTTTATGGAATGAGCACAAGATAAATTAATAAATTGTTTGCTTTGTTTTTTTCATTTTTTTGTGTTTTTGTTTTTGAAAAAGAGTAAATAGAGATCGTCGAGTTTCTACTACTAGCTATAATTTGTTATATATAGTATATGCGTAATATATTGTGGCCTTTGGGATGCGTACGCGTACCTAAGCAAACTTTTAACAATTTTATCGATGTGAGTTTGTGAAAATAAGCAAACAAAAAATGTGAAAAGGTAAAGAACGACTGCCTTTCATATCAGTTTTTTTCCTTCTTCTGTTTTTTCTTCCTATAATTTTTTCTTTTTTTCATTGTTTTTTTTTTTTGTTTTGTTTTGTTTGGTGCCCGTTTCGTATTGCACATGATCTAGTCGATTCAGATTGGGAAACGCCTTCTCTAGGGTCTTAACTTAAGCTCTACATGTTGACTCTGTCTCTGACTGTTTTCCGTGTCTTCCTATAGATATATCTCATATCATTATCAGCATGAAAGAGGCGCGAGAGTGTCCTGCACTAGAAATTATACTATAATTAATGTGAATGTTTTTTTTTTATTTTTTTGTTTGTTTGCTGTTGCCCTTGTTGCTGCTACAATAAAATGCATAATTTTCCCCATTTTCCGTTCTTTTTTTCACCAAAATCAAGAAAAAGTTCATTGAGATCATTGAGTTTTCCTAAGGATTTACACACATCATGCAACATTCAGCGGCGCCTGGACTCTCGCGCCCCTCAAAATACATCGCCTGCTTCAATTCATCGATTCAATTCATCATTCTTGCCAATTCGAACCCAAAGTAATTAGAACTTCAAAAGACTGTTACGGACAAAACTATCAAGATGGTTTAAGTGTGAACAAAAAAAACAAAAAACTTTAAATGATCTAAGAATTAGAACTTGTTAATGTTCCTCTGTATATACATAGTTACGAGTTAGTGTAGTTGTATATATATATATATATATATATATGATTTATCTGGATATATATGTGTAAAAACGACTATATGTTTCAAGATCATTTGGAAAATTACACAAAACCGCGCTCTGGACTGGACTGAACTCTGTGTGATTAGGACTTTGGTCTCAGACTGAAGCAAAACCGGCACTAAGGACCCGAAACCTGTGGTAGTACCCTACTATATTCTCTAGATCCCCGATATACCGATGCCGATCCGGGATCCCGAACCGGATCCAGAACGGCAGTCACTAGTTTGAGAGCCTGGCGTCATCGGAGGCCGCTGCCACATTTGTTGTATCATCGATGTTGGTGGGTGCGCATGTGCAGCACGAGATTGTGTTTGTGCTTCGATTTCTTGTGACAAATGGGGCACTCGAACTTGGGCTCCACGCCGCACTCGAATCGCACATGTCGATTGAGGCTGTGCGGCCGGGCGTAGGTGTTTCCGCATCTATCGCAGGCATAGGCACCACCTCCGCCTCCGCCGCCTCCACCACCTGCGCCACCTGCTCCGCCGCTTCCAACGCCACTGCTCCAATTCCCTGCCACTGCAGCGGCTGCTGCTGCTGCCGCCGAAGTGGAAGCTCCTCCTCCAGCGGCGGCTGCTGAGGCACTTATATTGTTGGCCGCCAAGCCAGCGGCCACGAGTTGCACGGCCACACTGCTGGCCGTATCCTGGCCAGGACCACTGCTACTGCTGTAGCGACGCGTGGGCGTATCGGGACGGGGCAGTTTAACCGGCACAGCCGGATAAATTAGCTGTGGCAGGGCACGTCCATGCGGATGATGGCCGTGGAGATGGTGGTGGCCAAGGGGCAGGTTGGCCGGAGCGCCGCTTTGGGCAGCAGCTATCAGGGCTTTGGCCAGATCGATGCGGAGATCGCAGGGCTCCATGCTGTCCTCGTCGTTGCTGTCATCGTTGTCGCCATTGCCATGACGCGGCTGGGTCTTGGGCACCAGCAGGTTACCCGGGCAGTGGGCGATGGGCGTGACTCGGCCACTTCCGTGCTCATTGTGATCCTCCTGCCCGCTGCCCGGTTCGAACTTGATGACCGGCGTTTCGATGGGGCTATTGTAGGGACTGGACTTGATGCCCAACAAGCTGTAGCTGCGACGGTTGGGCGATAAGCGGCCGAATTCTGTGAATAATGATTAAAATATGCAAATAGAAGAAATATCATTTTAGTTGGTTGCATTTTCAAGCTATTTTAAGAGATTTTCGTGTTTTTTTCAGTTTTTTGTTGAATAAAAATCATTGTCAGACCTATTACTAACTGAAAATAAATAAAGTATGGGGTTTTACCGTAGTTGCTTAGAGTCATTTGTTTACTTGGTTTTTGAGTTAAATGTGTTGCTTTAGTGAGACATGGTGCTATATGGAGTGGAGTTGAGTTGAGTGGAGTGGAGTGAACTGGATTGGAGTGTGTGTGTGTGGTGTGTAGATGTCAGTGTTTCTGTGTGTATGTGAGCTTGTGTAAGTACGCTGCAAAATTAAATTGTTTAATTAAATATATAAAATTAAAACACAATGAGTACATCGAAAATGTTGAGTAAAACACTTTAACGGAGCTAAGCAAAAATAAACATGAGTTCTTGTTCAAGTTACAAGTGATAAATTTGCTTCAAAATCAAAGAATTTCTTTGATAATTATTTAAGAAATGTATGTTGGGTGGTTAGTGACAAAAAACACTTAATATTACTAATGGAGGGCAGGACGCATTACTCGCAGGACATGGAAATCTACTCCCGGTTTCCAGTGCCCGAAGTTTTCTCGTCTCGCTTTTTCGCTTTATAAATACGCATGCAATATTTAAATGTAAACGGAAATCATAATACAACAGTCAGGTAAAATTAAAAGTTCTCGATAGAAGTATTTGGAAAAAAATATCTATACAAACTAAGTTTTGTCTTTTTTCATTTTCATATTTTTAATTTATAAATAAATTAATGCTATGTATGCATTGTAATTTGCTTCACACGCTTCACAATCGCTAGATAGAAGGCAGATAGATAGATTAATAGATATAGATAGCTAGATAGGTAAAAGAACTTAACGTTAAACCTTCGACAATACAAATGAATGGAGTAATGCTAAAAAAAGATCAAACTACAAATCTAATAGGTCTCATACATTGTTATGTAAATTATAATTACTTCTAACAAATACATATATATATATATAAAGTCTAAGTAGGATACATAATTATGCATATCTATAATGTATAATAGTATTTATATAGGTTGTAGTAGTTAAGCATGCAAACAACAATAAGAGAGGGAAGAGGCAACACCATGAATCGCGTTGTTTGGCTGGCGTTCATCAGTCAAGACCAACATCATCTTCATCATCATCATCAACATCACATCAATCCATCCACCTGAAATATAGATCTGATTAGTATGGATTCCAAGTAAGTGAACGCATTGCCTAAGAACTGGTATTTCGAATGGGAAAGGGTGAAGAATATGGGGAATGTGGAGTGGCGACCGAGTTTTACCTGGATGATGGGGAATGAAGAAAGGTTCTATATTAAAATAAGTACAACATGGGGTTTCGGTATTTTGTTTTTGACATTTGCTTTTAATTGTATTTCGAATTTTCTTTCGGGTGTTTTTTTTGTTTTGTTTTTGGTTTTAAATACATTTAGCCGGCAATAATTACGATTCGTTCAGTTTATCAGTTTGGAAATACATAGTTGTCATCGTACTCAATCAATATAATGGTATTCTCTCTTTTGCAACTTCATAGAGGTATTTGTCATTTTGTTTTCTTCTTTTTCGTTTACATTACAATTTGGTAAGGTAATTTGATGGTACAACTCTGGGGTTTCAGTGCCGTTCCGTGGTTCGTGATTCATTTCATTAAATCTAACAATTTTCAAAGCATACATGCGCTGATGATATTTCGAATTAAAGTTTATAAACATTGTCTTTATCAATTAGGTTTAATTTTTGTCTAAAATTGAAAATATTATATCTCATTATCGTTTCGTTTTGACTAGATAATCATTTGTAGTTAATAATCATTATTATATAAGCATAACTTAGTGACCAGAAATAAGATTTTTAAAAATGTTTCTAACAAATTAAAAAAAATTATTGCGTATGGCAAACATAATACAAAATCAAAAGGTTTTATCATTATTTTTATAATTAAGTATCTTTGGAGGGGCATTTGCTTTACCTTCATGCCATGCATACAGTTAGGGTTTTTCCTTGTATTTAAATTATAATATTATTACAAAATTTTCCCTTCTTTTTTTAATTTTTTTTTTTTGCTTGTAGTGTTTGTAGCACACCTAAAACAAATTTAGCTGATGACTAGTTTTATATAATTTCTTTTTGGTTTGGTTTCGTTTCGTTTTTTTGTTTTTCTTTCTTTTTTTTTTCTGGGAAAAAATTTACACATATTTATAAGGATTAGAATTAAATTTGTTGTGAGAATTTGCTAAAGCAATACAATATTCTTTGTTTTGCATGTATTTTTGTTCAATGTATTGCAAACTACTTCTAGTTACCACGGCATCACCGGCTTCGTTCAACGAAAATAAAGAAATTGTAAGGGCATTCCATAGTCGGGCGGATGGGCCCATAAAAAACTCAACCCGAAGGATTTACCAAGATTTGCACTAGCAGAATGTTAGTTTCCAAAGCCGTTCCTTAGCCGCGGCCTGCGTTTTGTACAAGTCCAAGTCTCTCCTAAGCACTGTCGTTCTGGAACACCAAGGTGTAGGTGCTACTGGTGCTGCTGCCGCTGTTGTTGTTGTTGTTGTTACTGCTGCTGCCGCTGACCGGAAGTGCGGTGCCATTGCCAACGCCCACGACCACTGGCAAATTGCCACCGGCACTGGGCTTCTTCTCCTCCTCGGCATCCTTCTCGCGATCACGACACTTGGTGTTCAGGTGACGCTTCAGATTGCTGTGGACATTGGTGGCATAGCCGCACATCTTGCTGCAAAAGTAGCGGGGTGGCAAGCCGCACTCGTTCTTCAAATGACACTTGAGACTGTTCTTCCACTTGTAGGTGCGATTGCAGTTGCGGCACACCCACGGCTTCTCGATATCCGCATTGTAGATCATGTCGGCGGAGTGCTCCAGTGACTCCTTGCGTGTGCGCTTGTTCTGGACCAGTACGCGGTAGCGATTGTCGTCCGAGTGCGACCAATGCAGATCGAGATTCTGTCCCTTAACGGGCAGTCCCAACTTGTTGCTCATCAGCGTACAATTGGTTGGGGTCAGGGCGCCACTGGTTCCCGCACCAGACATCAACTGCTTGGGTGCCGAAATCGTTGTAATGGTGGCTGGTATGGCGGGCAACTTAATCTGCAGCGATTGACTGGTGGGCTGCAGTTGCAAGTGCTGCAGATGCTGTTGCTGCTCGAGCAGTTGCTGTTGCTGCTGGGCACTGAGCACGATCTTCTTGACGGCACCCGCACTGCCAGCGCCAGGATGCAGTGAACCGGCCATTTGCTTCTCATTCGATTGCTTGGCGTGCTTTTGGGTCGCCGCCGCTGTGGTCAGTAGATCGTCATCATCATCGTCGTTGTCCATCAAATAGCTATCCTCGAACTCCTCGTTCTCAATTTTCACCGCATCGTAGGTCCAGGACAACGGACTGCCCAGCTTCAGGTCATAGTCGAAGGTATTCTCATCCTCAATAGCCTCATTGCAAACGGCATCGTCCTCATCCTCGTTGAGCGGCATGCTCTCTGGATTCTCGATCTTTACAATCACCTCGGTCATGGTGTCATCGATGCTGTCCAGCTCCACGCCGGCAGCCGCCAAAGCAGCGGCCGATGCGGCATCCACATTGCAATTGCTCGACGAGCTCTTGTTACCATTGTTTGCCGGCGTGATGCAGGCAATGGTTGTGCGTCCAATGCTTCCGATGCGGGTCACCGTTTGGGTCAGCGTCTGGGTCAAGCTGCTGTTGTTGTTGTTGATGTTGCTGCTGGCGATTGCCGCCGCCGCCTGTTTGGCTGCAATTGTTGCTGCTGCTGCTGCTGCTGCCGCCGTCGACGTGGATGTGGATGTGGACGTGGACGTGGTCGTCGTGGAAACTTTGGGCCGGATCGGCGTCGACGTTTTGTTAGTGGTTTTAGCATCGTTTGTGAGTGATTTTTTGGACTGAGTTAGTTTGTCTGAAGGTTAGTTGTTTGTCGAGTTTTTTTTTTGTTTGATTTGGTTTGGTTAGTCATGAAATAGAAATTGGTAATGGTTTAAGTTAGTAAATCTTGTCAATAAATGAGTGTAATCGTAGGATAATGAGTAAGAAACTTATGATGTCTGTGTGTGCTCAGCAACAAAACAAAATGTAAGACTGTAAAAAGAAAACAAAGTTATTGGAACGTTCAAAAATAGGATAAAACCATAAATGTATATGACAAAATCAATCAAATAAATCAAGAAAATTAGCCGATAGTGCAGCTGTGTAAAATACCTGAGGGTTCGTCTGAGGATTTCTCAATGATGGATTTGTCAGCCAGCATAAGCCAATTACGGACTCGAATCCTGGACTCTCCACCTTCGTTTTGGCCAGCTTCGTCTGAAAATTTGAGGTAAATGGGTGGATTTCATTAGTAAACATAGATGAAATGCAAGTAATAAACTATCACTTAGATTTTTATGTGTACCTATACTAGATGTATTGCCTAACCGTTTTAGATATTTCCGTAATTTGTGTTTCGAAATAAAATGTTTCCAAAAATGAAATAAAAATAGTGTAATATTATAAAAAAAATAAAATCAATACTTACAAGCAGTAAATAAAATGATAAGAAATCTGTATGTAGAAAATAAAACTTATGGGCTTAGAGACATCAATAAAATATTAATCAACTCACTATTGCAAACAACTTTCGTTTCTTTTGCGTTTTATTACATGGAATTTGTATATTTTCACATTGAATTTGGGTTTTTTCATCAATTTACAAAAAAGTTTTACAAACAATTCATAGAAAAATTAAATATATATATTATATATATAAGGGTATGCTAAATCTGTTTGTTTAATGAGTATTTGTTGTCTTATTAAGTGTTTTATTTATTAAAAATTATTCTCTATTCATAATGTTTTATGTTTTCCTATTGTTCAACAATATTGTTTTTTAGAAAATTTGGAATTTTCCACTTTTGCCATAATGTTTCGATTTTAGAATTTTACAAATTATTTCGTTTATTCTTCATTGTATAAAGAGTCGCTAAATTAGCCCAACACCGCAATTATATAACCAATGTTTTTTTGTTTAAGAATTTTAGTTTCTTAAAGAAATTATTTTATACGTAAGCATTCGAGATTTTTCGTCTTCCCCATCATGTTCTATTTTTTTAATAAAGTTTTAAATAATCAGAGCTCTAAAAATAATTGTTTTTGTTTTTTTTTTTTTTGTTGCACAGTTTTACTGGCCGCACATTTCTGCTTGGATTTAGTTAATCTGTTCTTGTGAATGTTTGTAGTTGGTCGTCATTAGTTTGTTTCATTAAAGCTTAATAAAATCATCTATGGAATGTATTTCGTTGTAGTGGAAAAATAAATTACACTTGACTACTTATAAATGTGCAGCGTAAAAGTAAAAAATAAAAACACACATATTCATATCGTATTCATAAGTTATCAAAAAATAATAAATAAAGTGCATGTGACGTATTTTGTGGCGGTGTTCTGTTGGTTGTTGGTTTACTGTTTCTGTTTCTGTTTCTGTTCCTTGATTTGTGGTTGCTATTGTGGTAGCTCAGCTACCAATTTTTGTCGTGTTTTATAGTTTTGGAATTTGGGTCTAGCCCTCACTAAGTACCTGAGTTTAAATGTCTAACAAAAACCATTTAAATCCCGACCTCCTTCGGTTGGATGACTTTTTGACTTAAATTCCTGCCTTAACCTACTTCATATGGCTTTAAACATTTACGAATATTGGTATATCATATATTTTAAAAGAAATTGTTTGCAAATTGCTTATGTTTTTCCATCAATTTTTCAAGGCACTTTATCCGTTGACTACATCGAACGTCTCGCCTCGCCTACATTAAATTCTATTATAAGTTGCTGAGCTTATCGAATGTATTGTATTCTCCTCTAGCTTAAGACATCGTCATAATAGCAAATTATTTCCACTTGAGGTAAAATGTTGTATGAAGAGGCTGGTTAACTGACTGACTGACTGACTGGCTGTGTGGGAACCTAAAATTGAATCTGTTTGGCACTCTGTACTGCATATCTATGTAATATACTTCCATGTTCAAGTACATCCTATTAAATGTTCGGCTTCAGCTGGTGTTTTTAAAAATCTCTCTACAATTCCCACTGGGATATTGCCATTAAGCCTAAGTTTCTTCTGTTCGCTGATGTGCTTGAAAAAGAACCATTCTGGTTTAATTGATTGATTGTTTCTCTTTAGCGAGTAATATCTTAATATGGTCTGAGTTTTTTATCCACTGAGTTTGCTACTGCTACTGTTTCTACTTTATATATTAGTATATATATATATATTTATTTATATATATTTATATATGTATATTCCTCATGCTAAGCCTATGCTATTCATGAAAAATTCTTAACCGTTTCATTGTACAAGTTTTGTCTTTCATATTTACGATTTGTGGAATGTTGCAATATCTAAAATTGTTTTTTGTGTAAAATCATTTTACTGATCACTTTGCTGTTTGCATGAAAAATAGAAAATATAGATTTTTAAATCGGTCTCGTGTAAACAATTAATAACAATAACAAAAAAATTATTTTATGTGAAATGGCGTAAATTTTTGTGCTTTGCAACAAATTGTTTTCGGTCCATTCGAACAAAAATTTCTTTTCCTTTTTCGAAACATCCAGGCAATCTTACAAAACTATTTCATGTTCGTTTGTTTGTTTTTTTTTTTTTTTTTTAAGATTTCTTTTGTTTTGTTTTAAGCTTAATTTGGCACACTGATTCCGTTTTCCCGAGAGCTTGGTGTGTGATTATTTTATATTTTCTTGTAATTTTCTTTCGTCCTTATTATCCCTGATTATGTTGTTGCCTTTCTCAACTCTAATAACTGATCAACTTTAACTTTCTATACAAGTCTCCTCTACGAGAAGTGTGGATGCAACTCCACCCCGCTGACCAGAGCAGCTGCAGCCGCTGCCACAGAAACGGCCGTCGCGGTGGCGCCACTGCTGTCGCCATCCAGGCCGCCGGAGCCGGCAAAGTTCTTCACATCCTCCAGCTTGAATTTCTCCTTGTGCATGCGCTCCATGTGCCGGCCAATGTGCATCTTCTGCTTGGCCCGATACACGCAGAATGGGCACTGGAATTGCGGCTCCTTGCCGCACTCCCACTTCTGGTGATTGCGCAGCGATGACTTCAGCTTGTAGATTCTACCGCAGACGGGACACGGGTGTCCAGCACCGTTGTCCGCACCGCCCAGCACGCTGTTACCGCTGCCGCCGCCTCCGCCGCCACCGCTGTTGTTGTTGTGACCACTATTTGAGGGGGATTGACCCGATCCGGCGGACATGCCAACACCTGACGCCGTATTGCCGCTAATTAGATTATTCATTGCGCTGATGCTGTTCAGGATGTTGATGTGGCATAGTCCAGCTGGGCCGCCAACATCCGCAAAGGTAACGGCTCCGCTCAATGTGGCCGGATAGTCGCTGCTATTCCCATTCCCCGAGCTGACCTGATCCTCACCGAAACTCAGTTCGGTGCCGGCCGCTGCGGCTGCCTGTTTCTCGGCAACGGCTTTCAGCATCAGGGCGGTGGCCTCCTCTTCGCTGATATGCTTCAATTTTCCGCCGCTACTGGTCTTTGTGGGCTTGCCACTGCCATTTCCATTGCTGCTGTGATTGCTGCTGCTGTGACTGCTCCTTGCGGGCGTTGAGGCAGCCCGGGGCTCACTCTTGCATCCCCCATCCGTGGGCGTCTTCCTGCCACTGACGGTCACATCCTTGGCGCTCAGACCGGTTGCACCCTGCTGCTTGTCCACCGACAGGTCGGTGGGAAAGACCAGAGGCTGGACACCTTCGCGAAGGGTCACCAGGGGCATGGCCAGGCGGGCGTTCCATTCGTTCCAGGTGAGACCCGCTATACGCGTAATACTCAGATCTAGGGTATCATTTCGTTGCATTTATCACAAGTTCAAGCGTGGATTTGTTTTGTTGTGTGTTTTTTTTTTTTTGTGGAGTTTGTTTAGTTTATGGTTTATTTATTTTTGGGGGGGGCAGCGCACAACATATGAAAATAAAAACGAGAAAAGAAAAACAAAAGAAAAGAAGAACAAAAATAAATAGAATTACTTTTGACTGGACACAAGGACAACTGCAAGAAAAAAACTCATTTAAATCGAGTAAAAATCAAAGAAAAAAAATAAAAATAAAACAAAAACAAACTTTAGCTGGTAAGTCAAGCTGGACACACACAAATGATAGTGGAAAAGTTGGCTGGGAATGAGATCTGGATGAGGTGGACGCGCAAAGCAAATAATATAAATTAGTCAAAGCGTTTGATGGGTGAGAATATACACGTGTGTAAAACATAGTTAGGAAGTAAGCATTAGGATGATTCGTGGCATGATTCAAAAATTAGTGTACAAATTAATAAACATATATACAGTTAAAAGATAAGATAAAAGAAAACTCTCTCTCCTCTCAGTCTTTCTCTCTCTTAATTAAACGTTGAGCAAATTAAGGCCAATTAGTGCAGGGTGTAAACATATTTATTTTAAAAATAAATTTAAAAAACTAAAAAGAGGGTAACTAAATTAATTGAACTGTAGCTGGAGAGTGCTGCTTGGGTGGGTTTTTTTTGTAGTAGTTGCTGTTTTGATATTGCTTGAACACATCGATAAACACGGCTGGGAATATGGATTCAGGTACAGGTTGTGGTTCAGGTACAGGTACAGGTACAGGTTCAATTCGGGTCTGGTTACTTTTTAGTGGCATACAGAAACGAACGTTTAGATTTTGGGGCTCTTAGACATAATAAAGTATTGGAATGGCAATTGTTTCCCTTTACAATTTGGCATGTGGCATGTTTCTACTTAAGCTTAGCTCAATGCGGATGTCTGGCAGGATTTTGCGAGTTCCAATCCAGGTTCCGGTCCCAGGGTCGATCTAAAAGAAAAGAGAAATATATTAGGTATGCTCGAAAAAGTGAAGATCTTAAGTGTTAGCTAGCTAACTGGGGGCAATCTCTGGCTGAAGTCTCATCGGTCACCTGGAAAGAGAAATATGTTAGTATGAACTTTTTGCAATGCATTATTCTACCTAGCACAGAGATCAAAGTTTCAAATTTGGATTTGTGGTTTTATATTATTTTATTTTGACCATTTATTTTTACAACTATTTTTCAAAATATAATTTCTATAGAATAAGTATTCATAATAAATGTTTAATTTCAATCAAATAATTGATTTACACACAAAAACTGCAAAAAGACATAATATGTATATTTGTTGTTCTAATATATTTTCTTAGATTTCTTCTTTTTTATATTAATTTTTTCTGCGGAAATATGTTTTAAAGTGTTCACAATTTACTCAGCTATTCCGATGTACATTCAATTTTAC